ATCCAAAACAACATATTTAAAGACACATAGATTTCAGATTTTCTACTCAATACCAAAGCATATTTGCTGAAGTGTGTTCTAAGAAAATTTTGTCATGTATTTGGTATATTTCTAGTACTGTTCAGGATAAAATTCAATTTTATACATCATCTGTGTTGCCGCATAAGAATCATCGATTTAATCATCTTTGGTCAAAGTTTATTAAAAGAATTTGAGCTTACATTCACCTTTGCGAAGAAAAAATGTAAACCTACATGCTGTTAATCTTTTTAAGTACGAGATCTGACAAAGCTTTTTATTCGTTTGAAGTAAAACGTATCAGGGTACCGCCTTCGAGATGTTTTCGCACGGAAAGATGGGGCAACGACCTATATCCAAGCAGGTAATCCCTCCGCCTCCAGCTTCCGACCCTACGCCGAGGGTGGAACGATCGTACTTTTACGACTTTGCTTCCGTAGCAGCACAAATTCAGGCTCGCAATTTTTATTCATTTTTCCCCTTTCGACTACAGGAAAAAAGAATTACGACGACGAAGAATCATTTAAACGAATTTGTTTGTCCTTCTTCACGAGTAACAACATGCTTCGCCCAATCAGAAATTTTTGACGCATCAATTTACCATAACAAAGATATCAAACGAATATTTAAGGATCATTAATTGTCAGATTTTCAATTCGAGTAAATAGCTACAACAATCTGTAACATAGCGCAACTTGAAAATTATATGTATATTCACATATTGTGCTTCGTCAATGTACGACTACGAAAATGACAATTGTTAATTATAAGAGTTGATAAAAAAAAACTTCACTTATTTATAAAAGAGAAAAGTAATTAATTGATTACAGCTGTTCAATGGAGAAGCATATTCTTGTTTTTCTATACACGATTTTCAAATATTGCGTTCGCGTCGGGGAGCATGCTCAAGAAGCAGAACAGGAACATAGTTCATCAAGTCAACAAAGTCTCTGTCACAATAAAAGCCATCCACCTGTAACATTCGCGGATTCCCTGAACTGAAAGACGTACTACACGACTATTTTAAAAGACACGTACAATATATATATATAGATAAAAAGATGTGTAAAAATATTAAAAATCATGCGTGAGAACATGGAACGTCAATTCCTTGATACACGTTTCACATGCCATACGTTTGGTACACGTTCAAAAACTGCGATTTCTATTCAGAAGCAATGATGGTCGTCATGAACAGTAGAAGAAAGGCAAATAACGGGAAAGAAGGGAAAAAGGGGATGAACAGTTTGGAGTAGATGGATCGGTAGCCATCGGTGGACGGTCGCGAAGAGGCGGTGGGGCTGATGGCGGAAAGAGTCGAGCTAGCCACGTGGATCAATACCGAAGAGGGTGAAGCTGCCTCCACCGTTGGCGAGTAGCAGTATGCTCGCGCCGCGGATACGCGCCGCACGTTCCTCGCTCGAGCCTTTGCATACAGTGAGCAGCCAGCACACAGCACAGGGTTCAACGACTACGCTAGCAACCTACTCTCGCGTACTCCAGCCACTCGATCTTCCCTTTGCTTCCAATTATCGTCAATTCGAACTTGGTGCCCCGCCAAGGATTTCCATTCGCTCCTCTTTGTCCGTGGGCGTACAAACATGACACTCGACTGCGATCCCGAGGGAATCTCTGAGGTCTTAAACCAATTCTCGAGAAAGAAACTCGCTCGGTGTTTGACCCTTGCCTCTCCTTTTCTAATCGTTCCACGACCTGACACCTGTCACGACCGACTCTACGCCAAACGATTCGCCACTCGGCTGCCTCTCTCGCAATGTCGCCGAGACAGGCTCTCGTTCGCCTTGTTGTCTCCGTTCTTTTCGCTGAATGAAAAAGTTTGATAAAAGACTACGATGGCTAGAAACGAAAAACCGGTGAAAATGGTCGTTTTATATTCGTTCAATGCGAACAGTATGAAAGTCGACGCGCGATGTTTTGGATCGTTCTTCGCGAAAGCAGCTGAGAAATTAAATAACTTTTCCTTTTGACCAATCTGGTCGATATCGACAACGTTTCTATTACCGTTCTCACTTTTTACTCTCAGTGTTGCAAGTATATTTACAAATTTGATTTATCTATAAGGAAAAGTTACGTTGCTAAAAGAATGTCATCTGGATGAAGAGAGAGAGAGAGAGAGAGAGAGAGA